GCGCAACCGAACTGCTGGCGAAACGGGTCCTCGGCTTCGGGGTGGGGTGTGTTTTGATGGCCTCCGATTGGCTATCCCGTCTGTCAGGCGCCCTTCTCCCCTGTTTGAGGCGGGGAGTTCCGCCCCCCCGGGGAGAGCCCCTGCGCTAATTGGTCGTGAGGGCTGTCAGTCATTGTCCAGGCTTCGGGGTGCGCTGCCCCGCCCGTTGGCTGCCTTGGGACAATGGGCGTTGGGCCGTGGGGCCCCTCCCAGCAAACACTGCTGCTTGAGCCCTCCCAGCATGCATTGCTCCCTGTTCTCTGGGGTGGCCCCTCCCAGCATGCACTGCTCTGTTGTCCTGTCCTGGGGGGACACTCCCAGTATGCACTGCTCTGTTGTCCTGTCCTGGGGGGGACACTCCCAGTATGCACTGCTCTGTTGTGCTCTCACTGGGGTGGCCCCTCCCAGCATGCATTGCTCTGTTGTCCTGTCCTGGGGGGGACACTCCCAGTATGCACTGCTCTGTTGTGCTCTCACTGGGGTGGCCCCTCCTAGCATGCACTGCTCTGTGTTGTTCTCTGGGGTGGCAGCTCCCAGCATGCACTTCTCTGTTGTGCTGTCCTGGGGGGGGAGACACTCCCAGCATGTGCTGCTCTGTGTTGTGCTCTCACTGGGGTGGCTGCTCCCAGCATGCACTGCTCTGTGTTGTGCTCTGGGGTGGCCCCTCCCAGCATGCACTGCTCTGTTGTGCTCTCACTGGGGTGGCCCCTCCCAGCATGCACTGTTCTGTTGTGCTGTCCTTGGGGTGGCTGCTCCCAGCATGCACTGCTCTATCTCCAAGTGAGTGGGAGGAGCAGCTGCTGGGATTGACTGCTCCCAGAATGCATTGCTCCATCCCCGCCGACACGGCCTGGTCCCGGCACAGGAGGCTTCTCTTTGATCCCCTCCTTGGTGCCGTGTCAGCATCACGCGGGCAGGGCGGCCGTGCCCTCCGGGGGCCCATCCCCTGGGGCCTGGGCGAGCCCTGATGCCGAGGCCTCCCAACAAACGGCGCTATTCAGGGAAGGGCCAGAGCAGGAAGGGGTGGAAGGGCAGCTGGTTGAGCCCAGTGAGTCACGCTCTCCGTCTCCGCCCTTTGGCTCTCCCATGCCAACGCCCCGAGCGCATCTTGCTGTCCCAAATTGGGCCATGCCCGCGCTCTCATCTTTCTGCCTCGCCTCGGGCAAAGGGTTGCAGGAGTGGCAAGCAGCACGTGGGGTGGCTCACCCGGCCGTCCTCAAGGCAGACCCCGTTTCTCATATACCTCCCGGCTTCGCACCTTGTTTTGCGCGTCTCAGAAAACCTGCTGCGGGTCCTGCCGGAGATGCAGCGCTGGCGTTTGCTCCTCCGCTTGGTGTTTCTCTCGGAGATCAGGGCAGCGGTGTCGTCCAGTAATCAGAGCAGGGTTCCCAGTGCTACACACCACAGTCTTTGAAAGCAAATCCAGACTTAACAGATTGGTTCCTTTTTTCCTCGCTCTTTTATGCACTGTGATGAGTTTGAGCAAGTTGCTTGTCCTCTCTGTGCTTTGAACTGTCCTCAGTAAAAAGAGGATAGCGAAGCTCTTCCCCACCGAGGTAAAACCATTGCTAGTTCAAGGGTGAAAGGCCCCAGAGAACGTGTCGTCAGTCAGCGTGGTGCAGGCACTCCGATGCCACGGTGAGGGGCAAAGGATGAAGGGACACGTTAGCAGCTATCCAGGTCCGATTCTGCTCTATCCTGGGCACGTTACGTGGGGAATTTTTATCCCCTGCAAACGAAAGAAATCTTTGCTCCGGTTACGTCGTGGGACCAGCGTCCTTTCCTGGCATGGCTCCCAGCTCGGAGCCTGGCATGACGTTGCAGTTTCAGCGCTGTCCATGAGCTAGGCGAGGGAGAACGTGGAGGCAGTGCAGAGGATGGACTGCCGCTCTGCACTCCTCCTCGGTGCCTTTTCTCCATTACAAAGCGCTTTACGATGGTGGGCGTTAACCCAGCTTTACAAAGAGAGGAAAATAAAGCAGGGGGATACAGAGCGGCGCTGCTTCCAGTCTGATTCTAGTATCCGAGCACTGCCAGGAAGTAGCGAGCAATGCTGCTAACGTCTCTTGCTGATGCGTTCTCTGTTAGCGAGTTGTGCTGTCAGCCTCGGGTCTTCAGCAAGGAGCACCCAGTCTTTCCAAAATGAGTTTTACCTATTGGGTGCAGCATCTTCCTGGCAAAACGGGCATCCGGTGGGAGCCCTGGCTGAAGTCAATGGGTTGGGCCATGGAGAACATAAAGCCAAACCGAGGATGGGGGTCAGACCCACTGGGCTAAGTTGGTGCAAATTCACTGACCTCTGTGGTTGTCCCCACCTGCATTAGCTGCGCGAGAGGGGTATAGTGTGTCTCTGTAACCTGAACGCTGTTATTTTAGGCAGCTGATTTGTCATTACGGGCTATCGTTTCTTGATAGCGTGAGAACAAAGTCTGCAGAAGGTGTGAATGTCTAAATGTACATGTCTTAAATGCTGGAGGCTGGAAACAAGGGAGGAACAGTGGAAAAAACCCTGGTCAGACCCAGTTGGTTCTCCCGGCTGGCATCTGCTCTCTGCCACTGAGAGACGGGACGCGGGGCGAGATGGACCTAGGGCCTGACCCAGTGAAAGGCAGGTCTTGGTCTTATGTCTTCCTATGGAGAAAATGCCGTTCAGTCTCTCGGTGAATTTTCCTAACCCGCCTGCAAAGTGAAGCAGTCCAACAACAGTCTGGTAATATAGGCAGAGAGATTTGATTAAATTATTCTCACTGATTTTAAACTTTATTTAGATTTCTGTTATCAGACGAAACAGGCGAGTGCTGCTGGTCTAAGTGGTGAAAGGAAGAAGGAATTTGGGTTTTAATAAGTTGCACTACTATGGATGGGGGGCGGGGGAGAACCATTTATTTTTGCTCTCCAGGGCAACAAGCCCCCTCCCCCCAATTATTTCTTTCAGGACTGATTTGTAATCTGATGGGGTCTTTTTTACCACTAACATCCTTTTCTGAGGGGCTCTACCGGGACTGTGAAAAGGATTAAGTAGATGCAGGGGTCTGAAGCAAACAAATGCAGCTTGGTTTTGAAGAAGTGTTTTATGGAGAAGCTAACCAGACTGGGAAGCACCGTCTGCTCTTTTTATACAGAGTGGCCAGGTGGTTGCAGGGTCCTCAAAGGAACCGCTGCATTTGGGTCCTGTCCTGCAAGACCAGTCTCCGCCGAGCTCCAGTTTAGGTTTCTGAAGAACAAATGCATTCAGCTGACTTGGAACTTTTCTGTTACGAACATATAACAGGCTGGAGCCTCCCCGGGACGTGATGGGCGAGCTCGGCCTGGCCGCAGGGTGTTTCCAGTCCAGCGTTAAATAGGAGCATCGTTGTTCTTCAGAAACTGGTCCCCCAGAGCAAGCCGAGCTGGCAAGGAGTCGAGTCATTATCTAGACTGCAGCAGTGGGTCTGGAGGAGGTGGCGCTGCTGCATTTATCCGGCGTTAGCTACGGTGGATAACAGAGGACAAAACTGTCTCCCTGCCAGGCACGTAGCCCTCAAGTTAGCACAGAGGGAGCTCGGCATGCCGCCGTGTGTGCTAGCAGAGAGAAAAGAAAAGAGAGACCCTTCCTATTTCACAGGCCATTCCTCTGTGTGCAAGGAGTGATCTGCGGATGACTCCCAGCCCAGCGGTGTGAGCAGGGCTCCCATGAAGGGGGTGACTGAGCCAGCATGGTTCAGGCAGAGTGCTGGGCTCTGCTGCTGAGTTGCTGAGCATCTTTGGACAGACTGGCTTGTGTCTCCAGCTGTGTAGTGAGGATATTGCTGGCTGGGTGCTGCAGGGATCAGGAGCGCTGCGTTAGCTGGAATCCCCCGCGGCTGTCAGAACAGTCCTCCTGGCTTACAAACAGCTCGCTGCAGTCTCCACAAGCAAACGGAGCGCCCCGTTATTCGTCACTCTGCTCCAGCGTGTGCTCACAGCTCCCCTCTGGCTGCAGTGTAATGGCTGCACCGTGTCCTCGTCCACAAAGCCTCTTGCTTCAGTGAACAGGCCTCATTGGGCTGCCGGGCTGACCCTGAGAGGCTGTGTGTGGCTCTGCCTGCAGAAGAGCCCCGGAGATCCCCTGAGACCGCTCACTGTTTCAAGATGCTCTTCCTACAGAGGGAGGAAGTGGGGAAGGAGGAGCTGCCGGCGGCAGCAGGGGAAGTGGTGGATGGGGCGAGATCGGCCACCCACCCGGGAGATGCTGTGCTGGGTTTTGCCTGCTTTCCGTGCTGTTGCTGTGGTGGGGCTCTGCTTCCAGCCTTGCTCCTCTCCTGGTGCCACACCATCCACCCCACACCTGCTTTAAATCGTCACCTGCCCAGAGCTTTTTACCCTGTCTGGAACTGCCTTGCTTTTTGATCCTGGAGCCCCGTTACTTCCAAAGCCCTGTCCAACTCCCTGTTTTTCTTGTCTGTTCCACGTGGCCTTGCTCCACTGAAGATCCCTTCCTGTCTCCGTCGCCCATATCTCCAGCCTTTCCTCCACGGTGTGCCCGAGAGGCCTGTAAGCCTTTGTCTCCCCTTCCAAGAAGCATTTAACCCTTGACGAGGTTTTGGCCCAAGCCTGCCCTGTTTGCTTCACATTGCCCTTTCCTCTAGCGAGATGTTGTTCAAATGAAACTGGGCATCGTCTGGGGCTGGGGGTCGGTCGAGACTTCAGCAGGCTTGTGGCGCTGTAGCAGTAGAAATGTCTCTTTCTAGATGGCCCCTGACAGTTTGGGGTTTCTCAGGTGCAGAGGTGATGGCTGGATGCGCTGATGGCATTTGATGGCGTTCTCCAGCTCTCACGCTCAGGCCTGGAGAACAAGGCATTGTCAGTGTGCGCTGGCGCTTGCTCCCTCTCGTGGTCCTCTGAGTTTCCTGCGTCTTTTTATATCAAGAGTTGGCCACGAATCCTCAATGGAGACCTAAGACTGGCACAGAGGGAGAGGGGTGGTTTTACTGCACTTAAGCAAATGGCATAATAAATGGTTGCAAGCACAGAGTCCATTACGATGAAACGCAGAATCATTCAACAAGAGTTACTATTTTTTTTCCCTTCTCTCTTCCTCCCACAGGGCTCAGGTGTGATTAAAGCAGGTTTTGCAGGGGATCAAATACCGAAGTACTGTTTTCCAAACTAGTAAGTACCCTCCGGATTTTGTTGGGTGCGTGGTGTGTCCTGGACTATTTGTGTGGTATGTGGAGGGGAAGAATGGCCTGAAGGTAAATTGAGAGACTGGAAAGATGGGAGACTGTTGCTGGCCCTGTTAGTTCATTATCGTGTGGCGCCTCAATATTCTGAATCTGCTTGAAAAGTTGTAAGACCAAACAAACAGTGCACTTGGAAGCCAACGGTGGAATTAGCTCTCGCCCACCTTTGTTTTCAATCTCAACTCAATCCTACCGTCCTTGCTCCTGTACAACTTTAAAGGAGGTCCGTGAGAGTGTTATCTGCAAGAGGACCCCAAGTGCTTGGACCTCTGTGCACAAAAGAGCTCTCTGGCATGCTCACACCAGAGTGTCCTGGTCCCTTCCACGAGCACAGGGAGGTCCTTACGTTAGGCTGAAGTCAGTCACAGGACAGTATAAACATGCATCTTTTTAGACTAAATAAATAAAATTATATATGTATCTTATTTGCTCTGTGTGTGTATATGTATATATACATACATAAGTGTGTGTGTGTGTGTAAATGTATATAAATAAATAGAAATTTGTATAGAGAGAGCACAAGCTTTTGTGAACTCGAGTTTATTTCATCTGATGCTGTGGAAGGATGTGCAGAAAGCAGAGTATAAGGAGAGAAATATGAATACAAAAGACAAGGAAGAGGGGAGAGAGAAGGGTGGGTAGGGAGTAGAAATTGCTTCCCAGAGAGGAGAGCAGCCTGGAGGTGTTAGTGTTTGGGCACAGAGGAAGTATGGCATGGGAAGCACTAACCTCTGTAATCTCCCTTTCAGTGTGGGCAGACCAAAGCACGTGCGTGTTATGGCTGGTGCTTTAGAAGGAGACATTTTCATCGGGCCAAAAGCAGAGGTAAGGAAACCTATTCGCTGCATCTACCTCTCGCTCTGTGAGTGCAGGAACTGCAGCAGTTAGGCCAGTAGAAGTCTGTGTTAGCACTGAGCGTGGGCTGGGAAGGAAGGAACTCATCCTCAGTCCAGTCCAAGCTGACGTCTGTGCCCTCCAACCCCTAAGCCCAGTCCCGTTGCTTGATTCGCTAAAAGATGTTACGGTGGCTCAGAAACTGGCACCTGTTTCCACTGTCCACATTCCTAGGCTGGCTAGAGGATGCTGTTTTGGTTTGCTTATGGAGGTGCCTTTCCTCTGTGTCCTTATCAGACCTGGTCATTGAGGGCTCTGTGGTACTTCCTAAGAAGGGGCAGTCCAGCTTAGCATCTCAGCCTCAAACCAGTGTGCAGAATTACGCCCATCTCCCTGAACTCCCATGAAGTCTTGAACTGGTGGTGGCATTCATTCACTTCTGGACATGTGCCCTGGGCAACAGGACAGCTGCAGCCCTTCCCAGAGGAGTGACGTGCTCCTGAGATTTGGGACCAGGTTCCTGGGGACAAGTGACTGCCTGCAGCCCCTCTGCACATCTGTATTTATGCCCCTTGAGGCAGAGCAGGTGATGGGACTTTGTTTGTCTGCAGCTATACTCCTTGTGTTCAGGACCCTTAAAATCCAGATCTTGCCTCACCTTGGGTCTTCCCACACCAAGCCAGGAACCGAGCAAGAGGCCTGTGTTTCCCCACAGGCTGTCGCACGGTTCCTGGACTGCGTGGATTCCAGACTATACCCTCCCAAATGGACTTGTTCAGGGCTGGAATTGGTCTCTTGTAAAAACCCAGTTTGATTCCCCATTGCAGCTTTCCATCAGGAAGCTAATGCACCAGTTCATCGATAGCTGTGCAGCAGCTGGAGGTGTTCTGTGGTGGAGTTCCCTGCAGGAATCCCCACTGCAAAATCAGGAGTCAGGATATGATTAGCATGTATTAGAGAGAAAATCCCTTCTTTATCCTGGGCAAGTATCTGTGGGAAGGGAGGTTGTAGCTAACGTACAGTCCTTGCCCTTTAAAATTCCTTCTGGCCTCTTTAAATACAGCATCTCGTTGTCATGCAGTGGGATTTCTGACAAGCAGATCCGTCTGTCAGAGGCGCGGTGATGTCACTGCCTAACAGATGGTGCCGAGCTTGTTTGGAAATCTCTGTGGTCCTGTGCTTTGTTTGCTAGGAGCACAGAGGCCTCCTCTCGATCAGATACCCCATGGAGCATGGCATCGTGAAGGACTGGAATGACATGGAGCGCATTTGGCAGTACGTGTATTCAAAAGACCAGCTTCAGACCTTCTCGGAGGAGGTGAGCTGCTGCATTTCACACGGGCCCAGAGCTTGGTGTGTACAGTGTCAGGGCGTCTAAGCTCTGGCATCTTTCCCTTGCTCTTCTCAGCAGAAGCTCTGAACGTGCCTATGTAATTAAGTCGGGCATTATCATTTTACTGTAACACATTGTTGGAGAACTACCTGACCAGAAGCCTCGAGTAATCTAAAGTCACAGCTTGCCTGAAGATCCAGCGTAGCGCATTCACATGCGCTAATGCATCCCTGCTGGGGCAGGAGCGCTAACCTTTGCTGTTCCACCTCTGTTGCAAATCTGCAGCCAATGCTCATTAATGATGACTAAAGTGAGTGAGGAGACTACCTTGTTCCCTTAGTCTGCAGAGCAGTGACAGCAGCCGCAAAGCCTGGGCGTTGTCTGTAGGAGCAGACTGTGCTGGAAGCGGCTTTGCAGGGCTTCAGCACTATTTTGAGGATGAACTGCAGCCCGTGACACGTAGTCAGGGCTTGTTGTATTTTTCCAGCTCTGTTGGAAACGGAGTGACACAGCTTTGAGCAGACGCATGGGGAAAAGACCCATTAGATCATCTCATCCATCCCTGAGAGGGCAGGGCTGTTCCCTGGACTTCACCCAGTCCAGCTTTATCTGCCCCAGGTCCTGAGGTGTTTCCACCCTCCCAGATGGTTTCACAGCTTGACAGAGCTCTGGTGGAAGTACTCCCTTGCAGTCTTTCACCTATGTCACCTCTGGGCTGCTGCTTTTACCCAGTGGTTCCTAAAGTGGATGAACAGGAGTTGTTCTGGGACCTATTTCCAGTTACCCAGACTCAACTAGGGCTTTGGGGTGAGGGAGCGATGATGCCCTCTGATCACTGCCTGGGCATCCAAAGGCTGTGTCTAGCTGGCCTCCGTGGTGAGCGAAGGGCAACAGGCCTGTGTGCTGTCACTCATCATGCCAAAGCCCCATAATCCAGAAGTACAGCCACTTTAGTGTAGTCCTGAGCACATGCCTGTAGCTGCTGTCAGGCCTTTGTCTCATCTGCTCCCTGATGCATGCCCAGGATGCATTAACCTGGTTTCACTGCTGAATTTCCAGGCTCTGACATGCACTGAGTAGGAGCTGGGGGGTGGGACATGCCTCTCTCCATAGAGGCAGTGCAGAGGTGTCTGAAGAGCCAGGGAGGTTGCTGAGCTGAGCTCCGCTCTCTTTCTAATCCAGCATCCTGTGCTCCTGACGGAGGCTCCCCTGAACCCCCGCAAGAATCGAGAGCGAGCTGCTGAGGTTTTCTTTGAGACCTTCAACGTCCCGGCGCTGTTCATCTCCATGCAAGCTGTGCTCAGCCTGTAAGTACCTGCCCTCTCCTCACAGCCCAGCCAGAAGGGGAGAAACAGGAGCACGAGGCTGTCCTGGGAACTGCTCCTTTGGGAGGTTGCTCTTGAAATGTCTGGTTGTGTCGCAGGGAGTGAATCTGAGCCCCCCAAATCGGGGGTGGAATTTGCTGCTCAGCAAATTGTGATGCTTCTGGGGGAGTTAGAAACCTTTGAACCATTAGGCTGTGCCTACACCAGCTTTTTAGAGCCTTGTTCGTGTGAGGTGCACACGCTTCAGCTCCCTGTAAAACCTACCCTTTGCAATGGGGATTAAACCTCAGACCCCTGAATCTGAAAACGGGTCACCACTGCCAGGCCCAGAAGACCCACAGTCTCCTTAGGCTGCAGCAGGCTCAGCCTCCCCATCTAGGCCCCACTGGGTAGGGCTGGGCCAGAGCGGGGCATCGAGTGGCTGCAGGTTCCCCCTAGCATTTGTTCAGCTTGACCCGTGGGAGCATGAGTGTAAACGGCTGACCTGGCTTACTACCCTTTTACCACCATGTGGTCTAGACCTGCCCAGAGCAGGGCTTTGCAGTGGTTAAAATGCAGGCAGCTGCCCAGGACCTTGACTAAACTGCTACCGTGAGGGGAGCTGATCTGATCAGAGCCATGAACCTCTCTCTCCATATGGCCTGGTGTTAACAGCCACTCTCCCAGGCGAGGAGAACTCAGGGCTTGTGCTACCTACTAATAGCACGTGCTAATCAGTGGAGGGGTGAGAGCTGGGTGAGAAGTTGTTCTCTTCAACCCAATCAAAAGGATGGCCCTGAGGTGGGGGACTGTGAGCGGGTGACCGTGTTTGAGTAGCTTGACCAGAAATGATTGTTCCAGTCCATCTACAAGCACTTCCACTGCATGAGAACATCCTGCTTCAGGAAATCAATCTGTTCTGAGCAGGAAGTTTTGCAAATGGCTTTGCTTTTGTCTGCCGCCTAGTTTCAAGCACAACAGTAGCACGGGGAGAAGTCAGGTTTCTTCTAAAATCCTGAGTGCACGTGGTGGGGGGTATTATGGTCGGGACCTCTGTTGGGTTGGGTCTGCTGTCAATCCTTGTGAAGCCCACTATTATTTTTTGCTCTGGGATGTGATCCTCCCCTCTTTGCCGTAGCTACGCGACGGGCAGAACCACGGGGGTGGTGCTGGACTCCGGGGATGGCGTGACTCACGCCGTCCCTATTTACGAGGGCTTCGCCATGCCTCACTCCATCATGAGGATCGACATCGCCGGCCGCGACGTCTCCCGCTTCCTTCGCCTCTATCTCCGGAAAGAAGGCTACGACTTCCACACCACGTCAGAGTTCGAGATCGTCAAGACCATCAAAGAGGTGCCTGGCTTCCTTTGTGTTTCCCCTGCCTGCGGCTAATTCCTTTGCCCTCTGTGAAATGGGGATGAGAAGCACGGTCTTAACTGGCCCTTTAGCAGAGGGGGCACCCTCTGTTTCCTGCCCCCAGAGTGGGCCACTGAACTTGAACTCTCCTGTTCCTCACAGAGGGTCTTCATGTTGTGATTAAGCCCTGCTGGTTAGGTTAGCACGAGGGGAGCAGTTCTCAGGTGGAGAGAACTCTCCTTGATTGGTTTTCCAGTGCAGTCCTTGAAATCACACGTGCGTGCACGCAGGGTCAATCCTTGAAATTTCAGAGTCGGTCTCTGGGGAATCGAGGATTGCTCACTGCTTGCAATCTCTTGCTAGCGAGGGGTAGCCATGGGATGATCTGTTTTTACTTGGAGACCTGGGCTCGGTGCAGCTGCATAGCACGCTACTGGAGCTCCTCCTTTATCTGAAGTCCTTGGATGATTTTCAGCTCAATGCCCAAACCTGGGCAGTTGATTTTACCACCTGCTGCTGCTTCTAATTTGTTAGAGCTGGTTTCAGAATGGGGGGAGACTCCCAGCAGCCTGTGGACTGGCATGTCCAGTGGCCAGAGAGCAATACCAGAGAATTGTATTGCTTCTCTGGGTCCCACAATGCTGATTTACGTAAAGCCCCGGCTCTTGGAGACGAGTGATGACACAACAATCTTAGTTGCTGTTTTAAAAAATAAGCTTTTAGCTCTTGTTGTTCCAAAGAGAAGCTTGAAAACGTGACCCCTCCTCCCTGCCAAGGCTCAGCACCTGAAGGCAGAGAGAGAACCCCAGGCTGCCGCCTTTTCAGTCTCACGGCACAAAACAGTTGTCACTTACTTGACCTTCTAGGGCAGGGCATGTTGGGGGTTTCAGAGAGAGAGAAATAGTTGTAGGAAGGCTTCAGCCTGTGTAGTCGAGATGTTTTTGCTTTGCAGTGAACTCCACTTCCTTTCCAATGACTCTTCAGAGGTGATAGAAACATAGCAGTGAGAGATTCACATTTGTGCACGGCCCAGATCAGCACAAAGTCAATGCAGCAAAACTTCTTGCAGAATAAACACAGCAGAAAAATCCATTGGGGCACGTTTTCTGTGAGCCCCTGCAGCAACATAGCTGTGCTGCACCATGGCAAACTTGGTCCAGCTGGGGCAGAAAGCCCATGGGGGCACGAGTGACCCAGAACTGACTGCCACAAGCACTGTGCAGTGGCTTGGCATAGACTAACGTGTTTCAGTTCAGGTGGGCCCCAAAGGAAATGTGGTTTCCCAGTAGAAGATGTTGCTGGAATTTCTCTTCTCCCAGAGAAAATCCGGGGGGTTTTATCCAAAAGTCCCTCATTTTCTTTCAACAGAAGAGTTTTATTGGAAATGTCCTGACCAACATTCCTCTTCCTGCCCCTCTTTCCCCTGCAGCGTGCCTGTTACCTGTCAATAAACCCGCAGAAGGACGAGACGTTGGAGACCGAGAAAGCCCAGTACTACCTGCCAGATGGAAGCACTATTGAGGTTTGTAAGGACACACGCTGGGTGATTGCTCACGGGGAGTTCTGCTTTCTCGCTGCCTCTGGCTGTGGTGGGATCTCTTGATAGAACATGGTTGCAGGTGGAAAAGGATTTCTTTTAACCGGCTAGAAGAATTACCTGACTATTTCCTCTTTAAAGAGCTACAGGAACCATCCAGGACATTTTTTAAGTTTTGACTGAGCGTGGCTTCCTCCTTCGGGTTGCAGCTCTTGCCAGAATCTCGGTGATCAGTCAAAACGCAATTCCCAGTTAATGGTGTTTGACTTGCAGTAAAACTAATGAGCCCAAGATCCAGGTGGTCCACAGTGCAGGGGTCTGTGCTGGTGAACTTCCATGCAGGGCAGGCACAGAGGGTGAGCAGGCATCAGCTCGGCGCAAATCCAGGAGCAATTCTAGATGTGGTTTGGATCTTCTCTAGTGGTGCAAGTAATGCTCATTTTGAGGAGTAACCGAGAGGCTCCTAAAGGGTAAAACCTTCCTTATGACATCTCAGAGGGAGGGGGTATGGGGTCTTGCTTAAGATATCAGACTTATCTAGGGAATCTGGACTCCGCTTTTGGTCCTAGCTCTGCCGCTGACTGGCTGAATGGCCTTGGACACATCACTTTATCTGTTTTTTTTCCACCCGTGAAGTAGTAGTAATTTTAGAGCCACAAAGCTATACAGTGGAAAGGATTCCAGTGTAGCCTGTGTTAAAGGGAGCAGCCCTCTCTTCACCAGGCTAACCGTTCAGAGTCCAGACATGAGCATTCAGACTTTGTTACTCTGAAGCTTCAGCTAAGAAGCTCCAAAACGTGGGATCCTTGGTACAGAATTGAATCGGGATGCTTTGTTCCCTGGTGTTGGCTGCAGATTGGCCCGGCCCGTTTCCGAGCCCCGGAGCTGCTGTTCCGGCCGGACCTGATCGGAGAGGAATGCGAAGGGCTCCACGAGGTGCTGGTCTTTGCCATTCAGAAATCTGACATGGACCTGAGGCGAACGCTCTTCTCCAACATCGTGCTGTCTGGCGGCTCCACGCTCTTCAAAGGTCTTTGCTCCCATCTCTCTGCCTTGCCTACATGCTGCGAACTGCTGTAACGCTCCTGGGAAAGTGTTGCGTGTCAGCTCCTATCCTAGGATTGCCATTTGCTCTGTGCCAAAGAAAACCAACCTTCTTTGCTGGCGGGCTGCAGATTAGCCCTGCACCCTCTGCCACTCTGATCCCCTTCCCCGAGGCAGTCTCCTCGGCTTTCTGCTTCCCGCCCTGTCTGCCACAGTCGGCCACCCCTACTAATGCAAGCCAGCCATTTCTGGCTCAATGCCATCTTGCAGCAAGGTGCTGCAACAGCACTTGCTCTGGCAGCTGCCCCTGGAGAGCTGGTTGTCAGCTCTAGTCACTTGTGTAGCTTATGCTGGTTTTGTACACCAAAGTAAGCTGTACTGGTGTTAGCCCATTATAGGTCTGGGCCCTAAAGAAATTTCCTGGTTCTCTGATAATCCTGCTAACCTCACGTTTGATCTCGTTAGCTCTAGTCCTCCCCCTCTGCGTGTCTATCTCTCTCTCACTTTCCTCCCTTCCTTTGGATGATTCCTCCAGCTCTTGTAGACCTTTCAGAGGTGTCTGGCTCCTACCTGTGCCGGGTGAAGCTCTTCCCTGGCACGGTGTCCTTTCCACTGCCCCCGGCATCACCTTGCCTGAACCAGGCTCTTTCTGCTCCTCCACTCCTCTGTTCTAGGATTGCTCCCTTAAATATGCAGGAGGGGCCGTGGCATCTGTTCCAAGGGACATCTTGGCTTCTGACGTGCCCAGACCCCCCTCGTCCCAGCTAACGATCTGCTACATTCACAGAGAGTTGGCTTGCTTGCAGTGCCATGCAGTGGGTCACATAATAATGGCACTTGGGTAGTGCTCAGGGACAAACTGAGATGGGAGCTGGGCGTGATAGATGCCACGCAGAGCATCCAGCAAAGCCCCTGCATTCCTGGTGCGTGGATCAACCGACTGGTTTGTTGCGTGGGCTTCCCAGAAGTGTCTGTGCATAGGACTGCAGGGCTTGCTCGTCAGATGCCTGTGGGATGAAGCTCTGTTGTGTCTGTAGTCACTCAGCGGCCCAGGCTGACAGCCCCTTTCCTCTTCTGTGCAGGTTTCGGCGACAGGCTCTTGAGCGAAGTGAAGAAGCTGGCCCCCAAGGACGTCAAAATAAGGGTAGGCACACCCTCTCCTCCAGGGTCCCTTGTGCCCCCTGGCCTGGTCTGGCGTCCCCCGAGTCCATGTAACAGGCAAGGCTGAGGTGGCTGCCCTGCCCTCTGAGCTGGTGCCGGCCTCTCCAAAGCAGCCCAGGTGCTCTTTTAGGATCTTGAGCAGCATCTCATTAGCAAGGTGCCGCCACGCAGCCCTCATGCAGGGGTGCGGCCTACAGACCTGTTACCATTGGGGTCCCCTTGCAGCGTAACCTGATGGTGGAGGATTGCCTAATGCGATATATCGGGGAGACCTGGGGTGTCTGAGAGATGTGGGGAGCAGTGGGCATCCTGGCAGGGTAGTAATGGAAGCGCTCCCTCTCTCCCACAGATATCCGCTCCTCAGGAGAGGCTATATTCCACGTGGATCGGGTACGTAAAGCACTTTGTTCTCTGAGCCTGCGCGGCGCTACGGTGCTCCCATCCCGACTCCCGTATACTGGGCCTAGAGCCGCGATAGCCCTGTGTCGTGCTCCGTGCGTCTGGCCTTAGTCCCTCACAAAGCCACGCTGGACTGCAGCCAGGGACCGGTCTGTCCCCTCACTGACTGCGAACTTGTTGCCATGCTGCGAGCCCTCCCTCATCTCTTGTCTTGTTGCCTGGTATTTTAATGCCCAGCCTATCGGTAGGGGCAGATCCTGGGTCTCGGAGGCAAGCGCCCTTAGGCCTGACTCCCCAGTGGTCCTGCAGGGAGTCGCTGTGGATTCGGACCGAAGCGAGAGGAGTGTTTGGTCTGTGGTTTTTCACTGTCCGGTGTAGGGGGCTGTAGAATAACGCCGCTGTCTTTCCTGACTGCCTGGCTTCGGCTCCCCCGTGGAGCAGATGGGGACAGTGCCAGACTGGCAAATGAATCGGTAGGGTCCCAAAGCTGATGGGAACCGGATTGACTGGGTCTCTGGGGCAGGGGCCGTCTGCTCACTAAAGCTCCATGTGCTGCTGCTCTGCAGGGGACGAGCAGGAGTTTGCACCCCGGAGAGCTGTGGGCCTGTCCCAGGCTGCTCACGTGCTTGCCTTTTCCTCTCCAGGGGCTCCATCCTGGCCTCACTGGACACCTTCAAGAAAATGTGGGTTTCAAAGAAGGAGTACGAAGAAGATGGAGCCCGCGCCATCCACCGGAAAACCTTCTAGCCCTGGGCTGCGTCCTGGGTCTCTTCAGAGACTCGCTCCACTTCTAAACTCGCTTTTCTGAGTCCGGGTGTCTGTGAGGAGCTGCCTCTGTGTGTGCGTGTGCGCCAGCATGCCCCAAATGTCACTGAGCAAGGAGGGGAGGAACAGGAGGACATGAGGATGATCATTATTGTTGTTACTTTAGCGGGGGGACATTGGCCTGAACTTCTCCAGAACAACCCATTCCTTTTTTCTTTTCTTTCTCACCTCTAATTTCCATACTGTGGCCACAGCCCTTGCTCTAGAGAAAGGGAATAGCTTAATGAACTCGCCAGGAGGGAGCTGACCGCTGCCGACCACCCAGTGGGACGCTAGCTGGGGAGCCCTACCCCCCCCCCTGGAGCATCTGAGCCCTGGGAATCCATAGCAGAGCCCCCTTAGGTCCCGGCTGTGGGTCAGCAGGACGCATG